TGTGTATGCAGACTGAGGGACACCTTTGGTTCCCAGCTTCTGATTTATTGACTGAGAGGACTGGACCACCTATAACTGATCAGGTTAATGGGTTTTGGCCTTACAATTTCTACGCTGGGTTACTGAAATCTGTTTAGAGGTCAGGCTCTCCATTTCTGCACAAGAACCGTGACCTGCGAGAAACCTCTTTAGAAGTAGCAAATTGCAGCCATGTCAATGCTCCCTTTGAAGCAATGCCCTGTCCTTGTCTGAACTTACAAAACACTTTATTTTTAATTCAATGTGGTTGTTTTGAGGACTGTGCTTGACAGCTCTGGAATCAGTCATCGCACACTGGATCAACATCTTCATCTACTATGACCCCAGGGTCTCCTTCTGGTCCGACTCTATGAGCGTATATATGAAATTAAGATTTTGTTTTACTTTTTGCTCCAACAAGGTCTTAGACATCTATTTTTGTTTAAACCACTCCAAAAAATTAGAATCATCAGCAAAGTAAGGAGCAGTGCTTCTCTTGTTCACAAAACAATTTTACTCATACCATTTTTTTTGGGGGGGGGTCCATGAGCGATTGGAGGACTTAAATTATGAAGCTGTAGAGACCTAAGTAAAAAGTCCCTTTTCTATGCCAGAGGCTCATTCTATGGCACTGGCTCTATAAAATTCTCTGGTGCTCTATTGAATTCAGTGTCATTTTAAAGGCTAGCAAATGTATCATTGGATAAACTTTCATAGGTTATCAAGAACAATGCATCTGATGTACTGCAGCTCCAAAAAGAGAGCTTATGCCACAACGAATCTGTGAACCTTGAGGCTGTTGAAGATAGAAGAAAAGCCCTTTGGCAAATTTAAATCACAATTACAAAAAGTAGGGTAGTGCAGAGGATGGTTTGAAGGACACTGACAAACTGGAACGTGTCCAGAGGAGGGCAACCAAAATGGTCAAAGGCCTGGAAACAATGCCTTATGAGGAACGGCTAAGGGAGCTGGGCATGTTTAGCCTGGAGAAGAGGAGGTTAAGGGGTGATATGATAGCCATGTTCAAATATATAAAAGGATGTCACATAGAGGAGGGAGAAAGGTTGTTTTCTGCTGCTCCAGAGAAGCGGACACGGAGCAATGGATCCAAACTACAAGAAAGAAGATTCCACCTAAACATTAGGAAGAACTTCCTGACAGTAAGAGCTGTTTGACAGCGGAATTTGCTGCCAAGGAGTGTGGTGGAGTCTCCTTCTTTGGAGGTCTTTAAGCAGAGGCTTGACAACCATATGTCAGGAGTGCTCTGATGGTGTTTCCTGCTTGGCAGGGGGTTGGACTTGATGGCCCTTGTGGTCTCTTCCAACTCTATGATTCTATGATTCTATGGTTCAGATGAGAACCAGTCTCCAGAGCTTATATGTAGTACGGATGCGTGAACTGCAAGCCTCTCCCCAGCAGACAACCACACTCTGGATATGCTGATGACCTACAAGTAAAGTTCAATGTTTGTAGGTCTCACTATCCTGATCGACCTCCAGAGTGATTTTTCTTCGACTTTTAGGATGCGTTTTTCATGATTTCAAACCTGGCCACACAGACCCCACTCCCCCCAATTTAAAGTAAGTGACAGACCAAGTGAAAACAAGACTTTTAATTATCATCATTGTTCATTAGCATTTCATTTACATCTGTCCAACTTTTCCTTCAAGGAGCTCGAGGCAGCATTCTGGGTCTCCTTGGCCCAATGTTATTCACACAACAATCCTGAGAGGTAGCATAAGCTGAGATACAGCGACTGGGCTGAGGTCACCCGGGGAGCTTGGTAGCCAAATGGTGATTTAATCTTTGGTCTCCCACATCCAGTTAATATTCTTCCGCTTTATTCCACATTCTGGAAAATAGACATAAAAGCTGATACACAGCTTGCCCAAAAATGGAAAGAAAAAGTTCTGGCAAAAGCAGAATGGATTCAACAACTTACGGAATACGCAGAAACGGTGAAACTTACCAGAAAAATAAGAAATCAAGATAAACTTTTTACAAAAGAAAGGAAATGGTTTACTGAATATTTCCAAACAAACTGTCAATGGATAAGAACACTGGCAGGATAACTGACATAACCTACAGTTTTATAAGAGTATACATTTAAAGTAGATGAATAAATGATTAAGTTAAGTTACCATATTTTTCACCCCATAGGATGCACCTAGTTTTTTGGAGGGGAAATAAAGGGGAAAAAATTATTTTCCCCCCAGGTGCGGGGCTGGGGCAGGGGAAGCCCGAGCTTCCCCCGACCCCAGCCCCCAGAACAGGCTGCTCTCCGCAAGCCGTGGGAGCGCTGCGTGAAGCCTGAAGCTTGGGGCGTGCTGAGCTCAGTGCGCCCCAAGCTTCTGGGTGCAGGCAAGCTCTCCGCTAGCCGTGGGAGAGCTGCGTCTCCCACGGCTAGGGGTTAGCTTCCTCACCCCTGTAGAGCGAAAGGGGTCGGGGCGCACCGACCCCCCTCGCTCTCCAGGCTTCAGCAAAAGCCTGCATTCGCCCCATAGGACGCACACACATTTCCCCTTCATTTTTGGAGGGGAAAAAGTGCGTCCTATAGGGCGAAAAATACGGTAATTCGGAATATGCAGAAAAGATAAAAAACCGCAGAAAGGAACCGGAGAAAGGAACAGCAGAAAGAAGGGGAAGGAAGTTGAAATGTTAAGATCATTGTAAAATTATTGAAATGTACAAAATTGAAAATCATAAATAAAAATTACATATATAAAAATAGAATCCCAGGTTATCTAGGTGGTGCTAATCAGCTACATGAGAATATTTTGGGTTCATCACATATAAAATTATGGTTTTCAAAATAAATATACAGCATGGAGCCTCACCAAGAGAATCCATGATGCCACAGGTCTCCTCCATGACTTCCTTATGCAGAGCTCTCTGGTCAGGATCCAGCAGTGCCCACTCTTCCTCCGTGAAATTCACAGCCACATCTTCAAAGGATGCTGGATTCTAAAAGAAAAAGGAAACAATTCTACCTCAGAGGTAGCGTATGGAATATCCATTACTCATCGTTGGGTTGTTTTAATGGGATTGCCTTGCTGTGCATTCTGATTATGGGTGTTTATTTTAATGTTATACAGTGGTACATCGGGTCACAGAAGCTTCAGGTTACAGACGTTTCAGGTTACAGACTCAGCTAGCACAGAAATAGTACCTTGGGTTAAGAACTTTGCTTCAGGATGAGAACAGAAATTGTGCGGTGGCGACGCGGCAGCAGCAGGAGGCCCCATTAGCTAAAGTGGTACCTCAGGTTAAGAACAGTTTCAGGTTAAGAACAGACCTCCGGAACGAATTAAGTTCTTAACCCAAGGTGCCACTGTAATGGTACATTTTCACGGTGTGTTTTCATGATGCGTGTTTTGATTTTTAATCTTTCCGTAACTACTGCCTGGTGTGCTCTGGTCCATGGGGTCACAAAGAGTCGGACACGACTAAAAAACAACTACTACTACTTTTTGTTTGTCAGCTCTTTGGAATCCTATTTTAGCATCAAGCGTTTTTACAATCCATAAATAATACTGCTGCAACCACCGAGAAGTAATTCTAGCTATATCCAAAGGGCTTGTTAATAAGAGGTGGCTGCTCATTATTGTCAGAATTTAAACCTACTTTGAGTGGCCTTCAAAGCCTTTGCTGAGGACAGATTTTAAAGAGGCAAAGGGGAAGAGAGATTTATCCAGGCCCAGACAGGTGAGGGGACAGAGGCACCCTGGCTACCCTCAGCCCCTCTCTCCCCACTGATCTACCCCCCTACCTGATCTTGTGCCACAGAATCTGCATCCCCTCCACTGTGAAGAGCAGGTGGCTGAGGAGGTCTTGTCAGCATCATCCTGTCACCTGTGAGAATCAAAGTTAGTAGGAAGACAGTTGAACTTGCTCCTCTCGGAGGTTAAGTGATGCATTCTTAAGTATACACAGGCCTTAGGGGGGGAAAAACCTTATTTTATTAAAGTGTTTATAAACGGATGTGTTTATACCATTTTATATATCAGTTGTGTGAAAATGTGACTCTCCCCTTTGGGCAAAATGTGCAGGTCCCCATGCATAAAGTAGGGAGTTGTTTTAAGCAAGTACATTTTTCATCTGTGGAAAAAACTGGCGACAAGTGTCTCCCCCCCTCAAAAAATAATAATTAAAGGATCCCCCCGGATTTATTTCACACTCAACAGAAAGAGTCTAATTTGAGATTCATCCCATTAATATTTACCCAGGGGGTGGAAAATACAAGAGAGGAGTGTCATTCCAGAAAAGTGCCATATTAGAAGCAAAAAAACTTGTTTTGATGAATTGGAAGAACCGCAAAAAGATCCCATCAAGCACATGGATTGACATTTGTTACATACAAACAAATTGCCTATCGACGCAAATTAAGAATGGATAAATATGAAGAAATCTGGAAGGAATACTTAAGCGATAAGGCAGAAAGTGGTGGGAAGTAGGGGGAGGAGAGGTGGGGAAATATTGTTAAAAGGGTGTAGTTATAGGTATACCAGTACTCAAATCTGAATTGTTAAATTGTCTTATTAGTGTTATTGTGGTTTTTGTTGTATGTGCTTTTTGTGGTTGCTGTCGGTATTAAAAAAATAATAATTAAAAATTAAATTCCAGAAAAGATTAAACAAGCCCAACGCCTGTTTCCAAGATCCATGAAACTGGGATAAATCCCATTAAATATTACCAAGTGGCCTCGCTCTGGTGTCCGATGCAGCCGTCTCTGCCTCTGAGTAATCAGTCTCCATTTCTGCAACCAAATCCTCTCCCTGAAACAGTAATGATGATTCAAAACACAGGATGGGAAGAAGGATAAGAAAAGAATGACAGGGGGGTGGGGAAACTTCCTTAAATGCTTTCCAAGAGAGAATGGGCAATTAGTAGAGACTTTTGGGATACCCTCCCTCCAATTCCAAGACTTCTGGGACTATCTAAATGAAACTCTCTCACCTGCTGTCCTGCCTGCTGCTTCTCCTCTGCCTGGCTCAGGAGGAAACCTTCCACCAGGGCCATCGCCTGGGAACTGGTCTCCGCTCCGCATTCTTTCACCCAGGTCTCCATCTCTGGTGGAAGGACACTCATGAACTGCTTCAGGATCAGCAGGTCCAGCATCTCCTTCTTTGTGTGTTGCTCTGGCTTCAGCCACCGATGGCAAATATGGTAGAGTCGGTTGCAAATCTCTCGGGCCCCTGTGCATCTTGGTAGTGAAAATTCCTAAACTGCTGGCGATGTAGATCTGAGCTGTGGGCCCGCTGCTCACTCAGGACTTTCTGCAGCGAGGTTCTCCAGGATGCCCAACCGCTCCTAATCTTGGCGGCATTGCGGCCTCTTCCTGCTTCCTTGTCCATCTGCGCTCCAAGGAAACCTCCACGAGGTCTAAGGGAACTCCTTCGTTCTTCTGCCATGGTGTGTCCTAACGAGAGGCCAAATCCTACAAAGCCAAGACATTGCTCTGTTATAAGATTGCTACACTGTCAGAAGAGGAAAAATGCTCGCTGAGCAAGTGTGGATGAGTCTCACTAGCAACCAGGGCTGGATTATAGTGGTACAATATTATTATTATTATTATTATTATTATTATATATAATTCAATAGTGCTCCTGGAAGAAAAGTTATGATGCAAAATATGCAGGCCAACTACTATGTCAGCTTTTCTCAAAACGTTGGCCAAGAACCACTTCAATAATAATAATAATAATAATAATAATTTATTTATATCCCGCCCTCCCCAGCTGAAGCCGGCTCAGAGCAGCGTCAGGCTTCTTGGACCTCAGGGTCACTTCATTCTCCCTCCTCACCTTGTGAGACAAGCAGACCTCAGCACTGTAATACCAGAGGGGTCAGCCTGGCTCTGTCATGGAATTGTACTCAATATTGATCCAGAGCAGATTCCAATGTATAGTTGCAGAGTAAAAACTTAAAACACGTTGCAGGATTCCGAAAAAATAGACCAGAGGCAACTGATATTTCATCCAGGAGAGCTTTACTGCTCCTGAAGGCAAATGAGCATAATGGTCACAAATCCAATACATTCAGGATTGGCACTGTCCAGAAGAAATCCAGTTGCAGCAGACTTAAACTTACTATAATAAGACTAAACCTTAACACCAAGCATACTATCTACAGACCACACCAGAAGGAAGAGAGATAGAAAGTGAAACCCGGGCTCCTTCTGGCCTCTTTTTATAGTCAGCAAGACCTTGAAGAAGAGATAACAGAACCAGTTTAAGCAAGCTGTAGTCATACCTCGGGTTACAGATGCTTCAGGTTGCGTTTTTTTGGGTTACGGAGCCACCAAAACCCGGAAGTACCGGAACGGGTTACTTCCGGGTTTCGGGGGCCGCGCATGCGCCGAATCGCAACCTGTGCGTGTGCAGACGCACCGCTGCGGGTTGCAAACATGCATCCTGCATGGATCACACTCGCAACCCGAGCGTCCACTGTACTCAGCTTCTCTGAAGGAATAATCTAAACATCAGGAACCTTCTGCTTGTTTTTTTTCACACAGAGAAGCTTCCAGAACCCTCTTTCTGCACTAAGAAATGCAAACTGACATGTTCCTCCCTGCCTTAAAAGGTAAAGGTAAAGGGACCCCTGACCATTAGGTCCAGTCGTGACCGACTCTGGGGTTGCGGCGCTCATCTCGCGTTATTGGCCGAGGGAGCCGGTGTATAGCTTCCGGGTCATGTGGCCAGCATGACTAAGCCACTTCTGGCAAACCAGAGTAGCACACAGAAACACCGTTTACCTTCCCACTGGAGCAGTACCTATTTATCTACTTGCACTTTGATGTGCTTTCGAACTGCTAGGTTGGCAGGAGCAGGGACCGAGCAAGGGGAGCTCACCCCGTTGCGGGGATTCGAACCGCCGACCTTCTGATCGGCAAGTCCTAGGCTCTGTGGTTTAACCCACAGCGCCACCCGTGTCCCTTCCTCCCTGCCTTACTGTGTTTTAAAACAATGTGAGAGTAGTCAACGGTTGTGACTGAGAAGTGAGTTGCTTGGTCACAAGCCAATGGTAAGAAATCCCTTGGGTCCTAATGAGTTGCCATTTCAACTATGATTCAGTGTACATTTAATCCCAACAAACACAAGGTGGCTTTCCTGTACTTTTCAAAATACCTGTACACAATCATTATATGTAGATTCATCACTGCCAGCAAAAAAAAAAAAAAAAAAAGGCAAATAAAAAATGCTGGAAGGAGGCTTAGAAATGTCACCTGTTTAAGGGAGGCTTTTAACCTAGACAAAAAGATTGGTTTCCAGGAGGAAAAATCCAAACTGGAAACGGAATTGTTAGAGCCTAAAATTAAGAATCTGTCAAGAATGTATAACTTGTTGCTGAAATGGAATACACAGGACGAAACGGTTAAATCTGCTATGATTAAATGGGCACAAGATGTTGGACATAATATTATGTTTGCTGACTGGGAACGGTTATGGACCACAGGTATGAAATTTACGGCTTGCAATGCCTTAAGAGAAAATATAATGAAAATGATTTATAGGTGGTACTTAACCCCAGTCAAGCTAGCAAAAATCTATCATTTGCCCGATAATAAATGTTGGAAATGTAAAGAAAACGAAGGTACTTTCTTTCACCTTTGGTGGACGTGCCCAAAGATCAAGGCCTTCTGGGAAATGATATATAATGAATTAAAAAAGGTATTGAAATATACTTTCCTAAAGAAACCAGAGGCCTTCCTCTTGGGCATGGTCGGCCAATTGGTGCGAAGGGAAGATAGAACTTTTTTCATGTATGCGACAGCAGCAGCAAGAATACTCATTGGGAAATACTGGAAGACACAAGAATTGCCTACCCGAGAAGAATGGCAGATGAAAGTGATGGACTATATGGAACTGGCTGAGATGACCGGCAGAATTCGAGACCAGGGAGAAGGGTCGATGGAAGAAGATTGGAAAAAATTTAAAATATATCTTCAGAAAGACTGTAACATAAAAGAATGTTAGAAAGAGGTTGGAAAAAGAATATTAGGCCGTTTTGGCAGACATGACATAATGGATTAAGTAAAAATGAAGTATAGAAATTGAGGACAGAGGAGGTTTAACTATATTATTGAACGTTAAAATAAGTAAATGAAAAGAAGGCTAGAAGGATTTGCTGGAAATACGAATTAAACTAGAATACAAAGCAGGGAGGCGAGAGGAGGTCACGGAAATAAGTAAAGGAAAAAAGGCTGTAAAGGTTTAACTTGATTTTTGTTTTATTTGATTGTAATGTATTTGTATACTTTTTGTTGAGTTTTTCTTATTGTCTGTTTTTTGTTATATGCTTATTTTATTTTGTATGGTTTTTTTCTTTCTTTGTAATTTTAAAATTGGAATAAATATCTTATAAAAAAAAAAAAAGAAATGTCACCTGTTTATTCATTCAATGATAATTCACTGTACAATGAAATTATAGACCAATTTTGTACATGTCCACTCAGAAGTACAGTTGTACCTTGGAAGTCGAACGGAATCCGTTCCGGAAGTCTGTTTGACTTCCAAAATGTTCAGAAACAAAAGCGCGGCTTCCAATTGGCTGTCCAAACCCCCAAGTGTTGATAGCAGGGGGCATCCTAATAATTAATTTTAATTTTTTAATTAATAATAATTAATTTTAATTTTTTAATTAATAATAATTAATTTTAATTTTTTAATTAATAATAACTAATTTTAATTTTTTAAATTTAAATGCTTGTTATACTTATATTGCCCTTTGTATTTTTTATATATATTTTTTATGATCTGTGATGTTGTGTGTGTTGGTGCTGGTCTGTGACCGTATTAATAAATTCATTCATTCATCCAATTGGCTGCAGGAAGCTCCTAAAGCCAATCGGAAGCTGCAGAAGCCTCGTCAGACGTTTGGCTTCCAAAAATAGTTCACAAACTGGAACATTCATTTTTGGGCTTGTGGTGTTCAGGAGCCAAAACGTTCGAGAACTAAGCTGTTCTAAAACCAAGGTATGACTGTACATCTCCTTTTGTTTTTGGGCCTAACTCCCAAATAAATTAATATGCAGACAGGATTACAGTAATCAGGTCACATTGAGATTGGTTGAAACTGTATGGATCTGCAAGTGGGGCATAAAAATGTGGCTCTTTATAGTACAAAAATATATTGGTCTGGTTAAAGGAAGCAAAACCTAAAGCCTTTAGCAGCCATCTTATTCATTTTTCTATTACTTCAGAGAAGCCCTGTGATGTAAGTGAAGCCGAACCTCAGTGATTAGACCAAGGCAATCAGTGAGAAAAAAAAAATAACGTAAGCTTAAAAAGTGAGACAGCAGGGACTCAATGAGTATTTTTGGTGCTATTTCTCAAGGGGGAGTAGGATGTAGCAATCTAAGCTTGAGGGTGGTGCATAATTTCTGGGGCATTGTTTATCTTCCACAGCTCCAGGAGTCTGTTTTTAATTTTCAAATATTCAGTTCAATTTTTAATTCTTCTATCCATGGCTTCCAGATTTTTGACTAAAGGGAGGGATTTGTGCACTGTGTTAAATTGGACTACTGCAATGCGCTCTACGTGGGGCTACCTTTGAAGGTGACCCGGAAACTACAACTAATCCAGAATGCGGCAGCTAGACTGGTGACTGGGAGCGGCCGCCGAGACCATATAACACCGGTTTTGAAAGACCTGCATTGGCTCCCAGTACGTTTCCGAGCACAATTCTAAGTGTTTGTGCTGACCTTTAAAGCCCTAAACGGCCTCGGTCCAGTATACCTGAAGGAGCGTCTCCACCCCCATCGTTCTACCTGGACACTGAGGTCCAGCACCAAGGGCCTTCTGGTGATTCCCTCACTGCGAGAAGTGAGGTTACAGGGAACCAGGCAGAGGGCCTTCTCGGTAGTGGCGCCCTCCCTGTGGAACGCCCTCCCACCAGATGTCAAAGAGAACAACAACTACCAGACTTTTAGAAGACATCTGAAGGTGGCCCTGTTTAGGGAGGCTTTTAATGTTTGACGAGTACAGTATTATAAAAAAAAATTGGAAGCCGCCCAGAGTGGCTGGGGAAGCCCGGCCAGATGGGCGGGGTATAAATAATAAATTATTATTATTATTATTATTATTATTATTATTATTAAAGGGCCAAGGACAGCTTGAGGGCACAGAATATGGCCACTGTAGCCCAAAATGAGGTTAATCCTAAAGGGCAGAAATGGCCAATCAAACCACTGGCCCATCTTGCCCAGTAGTGTCCACTTGTGACTGGTAGCATCTCTCTAAGGCTTCAGACAGGAGACGTAAAAGGTGCAGTAAAAGAAATGGTCACCACCAACCTCCCTTCCCTTGCTAAGCTAGTAACCATCCAGTCCCCCCCCCCCCCATAGCAGGGGAATCTGTGAATTATGGTTCTTTACAGGTTGGGGGGGGGGGCTCCCTCCATTACTTCTCCTCCCCCATTACAGCCATTTGATTCTTCTGATTACTAGACCTCCAATAGTTCTCATTAGGGCTTTGTATTCAGTCTCAAATGATCCTCTCCGTCTCACAGGCATTGCACGTCTGAATGGGCACATGCGTGTCCTCCAGAACCCTTGGGGAAGCCACTGCCTGATTAATGGGGAGGGGCTACTAAATCTAATCAAAGCTCAATTGGAGATACGCTTGCACCGAGATCAACTTTAAATCCTCCCCTCCCTGCAATATTTCAAAACGCATCTCCTGCCTTTGCACACAGGGAGAGAAAAAGGCTGCCCTCCTTGGTTGGGGGGCATCCTGGATGGATCAGGTCTCCTTTGCACCCTCTCCTTCCCGCAGCCCTGGGACTCCCCTTCGCCCAAATGCACAAAATAAAGGGGGAATAACTCACCGGGTCCCCTCAATGCAGCGCTGGGAGAGACAAAGACCACGTTCCTCCCCCCGGGAAAAAGCCAAGCAGGAAGGGGCTTTGGAGGGAGGGGCTTTCTCTCTTGGAGGACTCTGCAACCCCCGCTTACCTCCCGCCCTATTCCCTTCCGCTCTAGGAATCCAGTTCGGATCGGTTTAACCCTTACAAAGCCAAAAAGGCGAGAGGGGCGGCTGCTCTTTGTAGGCAGAAGCTCCTGGGCTCAATCCGTGGCATTTCCCCCAATTATGAAAAGCCAGGGGGCAAGTCCTGGGGAAGACCAGAGGGCAAGATCACCTCCATCTGCGCCTGCCCATGAAGGAGGCAAGGAAGAGCCACCCCCTGAACACAGAGGGGTGTTTTGAACAGGGGTCTGGGCGTGCGCGAAACACATTCACACTGCACGTTATCCTTGCAAAAGGATCCTGGGAGCGGTAGTTTGTTAGAGGCGCTGCTGGGAATTGTGCCTCTTGGGAGAGGGAAGCTACAGTTCGCATAATTTTGAAAAATTTGGTTGGGTGGGGTGGGGATGCCCTTTAAATGCATTGATGCGCGCGAAATTCTGTGCGACTGCCATAAAACTTAGGGAACAAGCTGTACTACCAAAAGGTTTTAAATGAGTACAGTACAAGCTGTACTACAAAAAGGTTTTAAATGACAATTTTAGGTTATATTTTAGTGATCAAGATTTAATATATATATTTTTAGCTGCAACTATATCTGTATCGTCTCTGTGATACCCAATTGCAATTCAATGTATTCCTCTTGTGTTTTATGATTTTCCTGATATTGTAAGTGAGCCGGAACTGGTCTGTGACCGTAATAATAAAATTCATCCATTCATTGATGCGCGCGGACGCACTCCAGGGTCTCAAACTTCCGATTCCTTGACCCATAGGACTTGACTGGTTAAAGTACGCCATAGGATTTCTGGGCCTGGTTGCCTACTTCCAACTAAGGGGCCGGGCGCCCCATTTCAGCGTAGGGACCCTGGTCCGCCAGGCTCCTCTTTAGGCCTTGCAAACACCAGCCCTGCTGGCTTCTCTAACCGCCAACCCACACTTGCTCCCTTGCTCATCTCTGCGGCACTGCCTTATTTTTGCCCTGCAACCGTCTCCACAACCCCCCCCCGCCCCATTTTTTTTGCCGTGGGGGGGTTGTACTTAGTTTGATTTTTCCGCCCTCCCTGCTCCTTGAGACTCAGAGTGTCTCTTATTAAGAAGGATTGCTAAGGGCTCTCTGGCCAGAACTCGTTGCTCCCTGCTTCCTCCTCGGTTGTTAAGAGGGGTTGCTAAGGGCTCTCTGGGCAGCATGGACTCGTTGCTCCAACTTCCGTTGTTAAGAGGGGTTGCTAAGGGCTCTCTGGGCAACGTGGACTCGTTGCTCCCCCTTCCGTTGTTAAGAGGGGTTGCTAAGGGCTCTCTGGGCAACGTGGACTCGTTGCTCCCCCTTCCATTGTTGAGAGGTTGCTATGGGCTCTCTAGGCAGCGTGGACTCATTGCTCCCACTTCCGTTGTTAAGAGAGGTTGCTAAGGGCTCTCTGGGCAACGTTGGACTCGTTGCTCCCACTTCCGTTGTTAAGAAAGGTTGCTAAGGGCCCTCTAGAAGACAGGAGTGCCTGGCGCGCTGTGGTCCATGGGGTCACAAAGAGTCGGACACGACTAAACAACAACAACAACAAAGGGCCCTCTAGGCTTTCTGCTCCTTTCACCTAGTCTGGAGACGCCAGGTTTTGCATTTATGCAAAGGTGTGTCAAAATCAGAAAAGTAGAATGGTGTTTTATTTACCCTAACAGGATCATTCCAGGTCCCGGGCAAAGCTCTCTACACTCTGTAGATATTTATACGGGTTCCCTCTTGTGTGAATTCTTTGGTGCAAAACGAGGCTTGACTTCCTGTCAAAGTTGTCACCACATTCCAACCATTGATATGGTTTCTCCCTGCTGTTGCTTGTTTGATGGGAGCTCTGACTGAAGCTCTTGACAAATTGTTAAATGGTTTCTCCCTAGCGTGAACCCTTTGATGCAAAATGAGACTTGACTTCTTGTCAAAATAGTCTCCGCATTCCAAGCACTACAATGGCGTTTTCCACAAGTGAAATTTTTGATGGTTGCCAAGAGATTTTGATGGTTGCCAGTCTCACCTGCTGCCTTTCCTGGTTCTTCTCCTCTGCCCGGTTTAAGAGGAAACCTTTGGCCAGGGCCACCGCCTGGGAACTGGTCTCCGCTCCACATTCCCTGACCCAGCTCTCCATCTCTGATGGAAGGACAGTCAGGAACTGCTCCAGGATCACCAGGTCCTCTTTGAGTCTTGTTCTGGTTTCAGCCACTGATGGCAGAGACTGTAAAGTCAGCTGCAGGCATCTCGGGGACCCTCAGCCTCCCGGTAGCAGAATTGTCTGAACTGCTGGCACTGGGCTTCTGAGGTGAGGGTGTCCTTTTCATCCACTGAATCCTGCAAAGCCAAGACATTGTTCTACTGTAAAACTGCTACACTGTCAGAAAGGAATAATGTTCCCCAAGCAAGGGTGGATGAGTCCAACTAGTAACCAGGGCTGGATTATAGTGATGCAATAGGATAGTTAATAAACTAAATGTGCAGGCCACCTTCTAAGCCAGCAGTTCTCATAGTATTGGACCTCTACTTAGCCTCAGCATCCCTGCATGTTGGCCTCGCAGCCTCATTATTCCCCCTCCTCAGCTTGTGAGAAATGAAAGCTGGAAACCTGTGTTAATATGCTTAAAACTGCCCAGTGTGTTAGCCAGACTGCCTCTGTTACTTGCACTCCTGCCCCCATTCAACAGGTTTGTTTACTTTCAGACAGGTTGTCACCTGCATTTGATCATTTGCTTAAAAGACCACTCCTCTGTTCTCAGGAATGTTTTCCATTCCATCACAAAACATCCCCTCCCCCTCTGCATGTGTTGCATGTCTGAATGAGCACATGCAAGTGACCATTGCCTAACCAATGTGGGGAAGGAACCTTAAATGCAGTGTTATGAGAAAAATACAGTGGTACCTCTGGTTACAAACTTAATTCATTCCAGAAGTACGTTCTTAACCTGAAACCATTCTTAACCTGAGGTACCACTTTAGCTAATGGGGCCTCCTGCTGCTGCCACGCCGCCGCCGCACAATTTCTGTTCTCATCCTGAGGTAAAGTTCTTAACCCAAGGTACTACTTCCAAGTTAGCGGAGTCTGTAACCCGAAGTGTTTGTAACCTGAGGTACCACTGTACTGCTCCCTTTCCCTTATGGGGTATCTAAGAGCCCATATGGAGTCCTTAAGTAGCTTCTCTTTCGGTCAGAGAAAATACCAGAGGCCAACCAGAGAATATTGAGAAGCAAAGCAGATAGTAAGCATGATCTTTATTAAACTGTTGCAACAGGGTCCCCTGCTCACCCCATGCAGGGAGGGAGGGGAGGAACCCAGAACAATGGTGTTCAAGCTCTTATATAGACATTTGAAAATTGCCTCCCCTGTAGCTCAAGACCACCCCCCAAAACATCATACATACATCACTGGAGGGGCGGTCTACAGCAGAAAACCTGTCTGCCATGATATCTGATAATGGTCACTGATTGCTTTTCCCTGGGCATCCTGGCCATTCTTTTGTGATGGTAAATAGTTCCTGAATCCAGGTCACAGGCTCACCCTATTCATACACAGATATGCCCTTAAGACAGGATTTGTGAACAAAGAGACAATGGGTAGGCTTTCCCATTTCCTTCCTCCTTGCAGGGATACATTTGAGGTCAATTTGGGAGAGTCAGAATGGTTTCAGGATTGCTCTCCTGTACTATATATGTAGTTTATATATTTATGTAGGTTTGCCTTGTAAATTTATGAACATGTGATTTATTATATGTGAGACCTTAGAAGTCCTATAACAGTAGGGAGCTTCTTGACTTTGCAGAGGGACAGAATCTGCTTCTTACTTGGGGGGTGTCCCCTGGATGGATCATCTGCACCCTCCCCCAAAGACCTTGGACTCTCCCCCAAAATGCACAATATAGGGGGGGTTGACTTACCAAATCTCAGAAGGGCCCCTTGATGGGATCTTAGGACAGACAGAAGCCACCTTCACACCTCCCACCCCCCAAGTCCAAAGCCAGGCAGGAAGGATTTTGGAGGGGGGGGTGCATTGCCCTGGAGGACTCCACCCCCTTCCCTTCCTCTCTAGGAGACCAGTTCAGTTCCCCTTAACCCTTAGAAAGCTATGCAGGAAGACTGCCTGTAGCTCAGCAGCAGCTGGAAGGGAAAGTCCTTCCCATTCAGAAGCTCCAGGGTTCAATCCTTGGCATTGCCTGTTGAGAAAACCAGGTGGAGAGGGAAGGCCAAGGATCAGGATCAGCTCCCTCTGTGCCTCTCAAAGGGGGTGGATCATGCTCTGACCCACGCAGGGGAGCTTTAGGCACACGCCAAATACATTCAGAGTGCATTTTTACCCGGGAAGCGTAGTTTCTGGAGGGTGTCGGATGTTGTGCCTGTGAGGGGTAAACTACAGTTCCCATATTTTGGATGGGGGGGGCTATGTGCTTTAAATGCAGGGTGTGCTCATAGTCTGAGTGACACCCCAGGTTCTCAGGCTTCAGATTTCTTGTCCCAAAGGGCTGGGCTGCTTCTAATAACTGATCAGGTTGAATTGAGAGGAAGTCAATCACATTTTAGTGCCATTGACATAAATGGGGCAAATTAATCTTGACTTACCAATACCAGTGTATCAGTGGCATCAGCAGCTGGGTTTTTTGTGAGTATGGATTAGACCCTGACCCGTCACTTTATCTGTCCAAGTGTCCTTTATCTTTTATGTTTACCTTATCACCATACCATTGTGTCCCCATATGTGCTTTTCTGTATTTTACAACCCTTCTGTCCCAAACCATGTGTATACATAATAGGGTTGCCATATGTCTGCAATTTTCTGGACATAGTTGGAATACGGCCATCGGAACAGTGTACGGGCGGAAATTGCTCAAATGTCCAGGAAAATCTAGCAATCCATGTCAGAAGTCTAGATTTTGGTGAATTTCCTTAAAAATAGGTCCAAAACATCACACACACACACACACACACACACACACGAGTGTCAAACCTTGGTTCCTGAACACCTCATTTTGGAATGTTTTGGATTTCAGTGGCGCTGCAGCATGTCAAAATACAGTGGAACCTCAGTTGTCAAACACTTCGGAACCCGAACGCCAACAACCCGGAAGTGAATGCTTCCGTTTCTGAATGCGCCTCAGAAGTTGAACAGCTTCCAAGGGGTGTTTCTCCATTTTTAAAAAGGAATTTGCCGACCGGCAATTGTGCCTTGGTTGTCAAACGGTTCAGAAGTCTAACGGTCTTCTGGAACAGATTGTGTTCGACAATCAAGGTTCCACTGTAATTTTATTTATTCCTCTGGATTCTAAGGTTTAAAATGAACTGAGCTGGATTCTAACAGCTGTAGGGACATTTGTGGGGTTGGGATTGGGGAGAGAGAAGCGAGTAAAACCCTCCAAACACTCAAAAAGTCAACTCCCTTCGTCCAGCAGGTGAGAACTTTCTTGTTCCAACACTTTGGGGAACTGACTGCTTTGAATGAAAGGGCTTGTGCTGCGCTGTTCTTGCTGTCATTATTTTTTATGGTTTAACAATTGTTTTAAAGAAAAGATGGTTCTTTTCTTTTTTAGCCGTTCTTGTTCTTATCCACAAACTGCCTTGAGTCCCATAAGGGGAAAAGGCAGGGTATCAATAAATAGAAGGATAACACAGTACTAAATAGTCTTTCATGGATTATCAAAAATGATTCATCTGACCAAGTGGACTACAACTCCAAAACAGCTTGTGCCTCCACTAGAATTTAACCCTGATCTTCCAGGTCCCAGTCCATTAAATATCTCTCTATTTTATTTCACTTTCTGGAAATAAGACATAGGAGTAAATAAGCTGGGTCCTGGGGGAATTCTTTTTCCATAGTCCTAGAATTGGATGGGTACTTTGTTAAAAGTCCTGCAACTAGCCTATTCAGCCTGCAATTCTGGACACAATTATCTGTAGATTACATTGAATTCAGTGAGGATTCGTTCTGAGAAATGTACAGCTATCATGACACAAATCATCTCTACAAATCATGACCTGGGATGGGTCCTGGAAGTTTAGGGTAAATGCACACTAAATGTGTGTTGCCAGCAATGTTTAATTACTAGCAAATAATAATAATAATAATAATAATAATAATAATAATAATAATAATAATTTTATTATTTATAGCCCGTCCATCTGATGGGTTGCCCCAGCCACTCTGGGTGGCTTCCAACATATTTTAAAGCATAATAAAACGTTACACATTTAAAAGCTTCCCTATACAGCACTGTATCTTTCCTATCAAAAGAAAGAATGGAGATCTCCAGGGTCAATATTAGCGTTCTCCAAAGAAAAACTCAAGAAACAGGAAAAATACAGGAAACAGGAAAGATAACCATTCTGTCATTTCTAACCAGGGGCATCTCCTTTCAACTTCAAACTTAGAAATATGAACAGAATAGTAAACCTAGAGGGACTTGTAGGAAACAATGGTACAATGAAATAAAGGCATTATGACCCTCTCTCATGCAGGGAGATCCCCCTCCCTTTCTCGTAAGGATACACTGGCCCAAAATAGTACAGTGGTACCTCAGGTTAAGAACTTAATTAGTTCTGGAGGTCCGTTCTTAACCTGAAACTGTTCTTAACCTGACGCACCACTTTAGCTAATGGGGCCTCCCGCTGCCGCTGCGCCGCCGCCACACAATTTCTGTTCTCATCCTGAAGCAAAGTTCTTAACCCGAAGTACTATTTCTGGGTTAGCGGAGTCTGTAACCTGAAGTGTCTGCAACCTGAAGCATCTGTAACCTGAATCATCTGTAACCCGAGGTACCACTGTACTTAAATCCCAGATTTTCATTGGTTGGGTAGCTCAAAGCTCCAATGGAATACCCTTCTTCATGCCTTGCTGGAAATGGACGAAAAGAAGTACTGAGAGAGATGCTGTAGCCTTGCTGGTAGAGGTTATTTGTGGGGAGAGCAGAACTCATCACCAAAAGTACAGAGACATATGTGAGAGCTGGACACACCTGTACATTCAGATGGACACCATGCAACACAGCCCTGTCCGGACCTGTGACTTGCCAGCATTTATTCCTTTCATAGTTTGATTCCATCATGCTTTGCTTGATGGGAAGTGAGATAAGCCCTCTGACTGAAGCTCCGTCCACATTCCAAGCACCGATATGGCTTCTCTCCGTTATGAATTCTTTGATGAGCCGTGAGATGGTAGCTCCGGCTGAAGCGCTTCCGCATTCCAAGCACTGAAATGGTCTCTCCCCTGTGTGAAGCGTTTGATGGGAAGTGAGAATTTGCTTTAACCTGAAGCTCTTCCCACATTCCAAGCACTGATACGGCTTTTCCCCCGTGTGAAGCGTCTGGTGGGAAGCGAGAGTTTGCTTCAACCTGAAGCTCTTTCCACATTCCAAGCATGGATATGGTTTTTCCCCTGTGTGAAGTGTTTGATGGGAAGTGAGATTTACCTTTAAACTGAAGCTCTTCCCACATTCCAAGCACTGATAGGGTTTCTCCCCTGTATGAATTCTTCGATGGAAAGTGAGACGGTCGTTCCGAGAGAAGCTCTTTCCGCAATCCAAGCACTGAAATGGCTTTTCCCCTGTGTGAAGTGTCTGATGGGAAGTGAGATTATGCTTTAAATTGAAGCTCTTTCCACATTCCAAGCACTGATATGGTTTCTCCCCTGTATGAATCCTTTGATGTGTAGTCAGGCTGTCACTCATACTGAAGCTCTTCCCACATTCCAAACATGGATATGGTCTCTCCCCTGTATGAATTCTTTGATGGGAAGAGAGACGGTTGTTTCGACTTAAGCACTTTCCGCATTCCAAGCACTGATAAGGTTTTACCCCTGTGTGAAATGTTTGATGTTTAAGGAAGTCTGTGCTTCTTTTAAAGCTCTTACCACAGTCAAAGCATTTATACGGTTTCTCTTCTGAATGAATTATTTCATGCCTAGTAAGATTTGACTTCCTGCTAAAGTTTTTTCCACATTCCAAGCACTGATACTGTTTCTTCCCACTGTCCGTTTTTTGTTGGGACCTCTGGCTGAATCTCTCTCCACTCTCCAAATTTACATTCTGCGCCCTCACTGCGTAGACATTATTGTAGTCTCCTTTATTCTTGGTTTCCAACTCGTAATCTTCTGCAATGAAGACAGAAACTGATTACAGCCTTAGGATGAAATTGGGCTCCAAATTATTGAGCAATGCCAAGGAACAGTTGTAAAAATGGAAGAACTGAAGGGACTTTGATGTGAGGTAGATCTTTCTGGCAGGGGTTCTAAGGTGGACCGAGAGGCTTTTAGCTCCAGAGCTATGACTTCTAGTGCAGAGAAGAAAATATGTGACTGCCCACAACCAGCTGGCTGCTTAAAATGCACTCCTGACTGCTCCTTCACAAGTAAGGCTCCTGTCAGGGACTGGGCAGAGGGGGAATGGTGGAAACCGCCTCCCCATCCTGACCCTTCCAGGGGGGAGGAAGAGGGAGATAGTATAGATTTGCAACAGGGGTTTGAGGGAGGTAGCAGCTCAGAGGCAGATGAGGGGAAAAGCTGGGAAATCATGGGATAACTGGAACAACTACCAGCTGACATGTTGTCATTAGAAAGCATTCCAGACCCACCATCTCCCAGAACCCGGCGAGCCTTAAAAGTAGGAGAGCAAAGAGCTCAAAGACAGAGGGCATGTGGCAGCACCCGTAGAAGTGATGAATGAGGAAGTGGGAGAGACGGAGGTGGAGATTCACTCAGGACAACACCATTATCTAAATGTCTGGGTTCTATAGCCTCTCTGTAAAGACTGAAATAAAAAAGGACGGTAAGAAACTTTCCCTTGTCTTTATGCTTTCCTGGGCCGCGGACAGAATCCCAACAGCTCCCTTCTCTGCACTGATCAGCTGATCTGCCCAAACTAAGATCAGCTGCATTAGGGTGTTTTAGAAACCCCCAGGTAAATGTGAAAGGATTTTCCATACTGATTGGCACTGAAAGCTGGCCTTTAAGGGGGCTTTGAATTCCCCCCTTTCTAATTGCCACCTGATGTCATAATGTCGTCAGAAGATTGATAGACAGATATGAATGACTACCTGTCAAAGTTGGCTTATGCATAGGGCAGGGAACTATTCGCCTCACCAGCCAGATCCAGTTCCTCTTGCTTATCTAATGGATCTTAGATGGAACTGTTCAATGTGCTGGCTTGGAACTTTGGAGGGATGCTGTCAGCCAGAGGAGACAACACTGGACAAGACTGACCAATGGTTAGAGCAGTCAAAACTACTTTGCTAATTGTTTAGAAGGGGGAAACTGGAGGAATCTAGATGCTGTAGGTGCTGTTGCTGAATTCTAGCACAATGTTGTAGGTTCATTGCACATATAAACATCTGACTTTCATAAGAGAGACAAAACGAACAGCCTTACTGAGAGAGCCCATGATGCCACAGGTCTCTTCCATGACTTCCTTATGCAGAGCTCTCTGGTCAGGATCCAGCAGCACCCACTCCTCATCTGTGAAATGCACAGCCACATCCTCAAAGGATGCTGTACTCTAAAAGAAAAAGGAAATGTTTACACCTTAGAGATAGCTCCTCAGAGACAGCTCATTACTAGGTTGTCCATTGTCTATAAACTGTTGTGTTGCTTTAATTTAATGGCATAATTTTTTTTGGTACAATTTAATTATGGGTGTTTATTTTAATGTTTCAATGGAATTGTTTCATTTCTGTAACTGCTTTTTCTACTTTGTCAGCTGTTTAGAAGCTTACCTTAGCATTAAGTGCTATTTAAATTCATACGTAGCACTGCTACTACTAAGAAACAATTCTGGCTGCATCTAAAAGGATAGTTAAGGCGAGGTAAAGGTAAAGGGACCCCTGACCGTTAGCTCCAGTCGCGGATGACTCTGGGGTTGTGGCGCTCATCTCGCTTTACTGGCCGAGGGAGCTGGCATACAGCTTCCGGGTCATGTGGCCAGCATGACTAAGCTGCTTCTGGCGAACCAGAGCAGTTCACGGAAACACCGTTTACCTTCCAGACAGAGCGGTAGCTATTTATCTACTTGCACTTTGCTGTGCTTTCGAACTGCTAGGTTGGCAGGAGCAGGGACCAAGCAAGGGGAGCTCACCCCGTTGCGGGGATTCGAACTGCCGACCTCCTGATCGGCAAGCCCTAGGCTCTGTGGTTTACACCACAGCACCAGCCGCGTGGTAGCTGTTCCTTATTCTCAGGATTTAAAGTTTCCTTGAGTGGTCTTCAAAGCTTTTGTTCAGGTCACATTTCAAATAAGGAAAGTGAATTGATTCTGGCTCAGAGAGGAGAGGACGGAAGCAATCTGGCTGCCCCCAGCCTCTCTCCCCCCACTGATTTGCTCCACTACCTGATCTGGTACCACAGAAGCTGATTCCCCTCCTCCGTGAAGAGAATATGGCTGAAGAGATCTTCCCAGCATCATCCCATCACCTGTGAAATACAAAGTTGATGGAAAGCTTGTCTCAGAGGTTAAGCACTGCATGTCTAACTACAAACAGGCTTTAGAAATAGTCTCATCTGTTGAGTTTTTTATTCCAATTTTATATTTCAGGAGTGTGGAACTGCATCTCTCCCGCTTTGGGCTTTTGTCCGTAACTCAGCTTGCATGTCCCCACATTTAAAAACAGGGAAATGTTGTTTTGAGCTATGGAAAAGGCTGGAGAGAAGTACCTTCTGCTCCAAACACTAAAGGAGCCCATGGAAGTATTTTGCAATTAAACAAGGAAGGCAAACTGGGATCTATTTCTGCAATGCTTACCCAGTGGGTGCTTTCTGGTGTCTGGTGGAGTCCTCTCATTATCAGAGAAATCAGTGCTCATCTCTGCAAACAGAACCTTCCCCTGGAACGGCAATAAAAATTCAAAACATGGAATGGGGAGAAAAATTAGAAAAGGCATTACAAGAAGCAGAAACCTCAAGGATTATTGTATATCCTTCCTTGGAAGCTTTCAAAAAATGTTGCAATTACTAGCAAATTTTGAGGTACCCTCCATCACATTTGAAGTTCTTGGTGCTTTCTAGATTGGAGCACTCACCTGCCAGTTTTCCTCCTTTTTCTCCTCTGCCTGGCTCAGGAGGAAACCTTCCACCAGGGCCACCGCCTGGGAGCTGGTCTCCGCTCCACATTCCCTCACCCAGCTCTCCATCTCTTGTGGAAGAACAGTCAGAAACTGCTCCAGGATCACCAGGTCCAGGATCTCCTTCTTTGTGTGTTGGTTTGGCTTTAGCCACTGATGGCAAAGACGGTGGAGTTGGCTGCAAACCTCCCGAGGCCCTTTGGCCTCCTGGTAAAGGAAATGCCTGAAACACTGGGGCTGAACATATGAGATGAGGGTGTCCTTCCTCCCTGTGTTCTCCCAGAATCCTCTACTGCTCCCAGTCTCGATGGCATCCCGGCCACTTCCTGCTTCAAGTCCTCTGGAATCTTCCTTCTCCATCGGTGCTCCCAGGAAGTTTCCAAGAGGTTCACAGGAACTCCTTTGCTCTTCTGCCAATTTCTGTCTGTCCTAATGAGAGGTGCTAGCAAGTCCTAGAAGGCCAAGACATTGTTCTTCTGTAAAATTGCTTCATTGTCAGAATAGGAAAAATGTTCCCTGAGCAAAGGTGGATGGGTCTCAATAGTTTAAAAAAAAAAAAAAAGGTAAAGGAGACTTGGAGGGTTAAGGCCTCAGTCCAGTACACCTGAAGGAGCGTCTCCACCCCCATCGTTCTGCCCAGACACTGAGGTCCAGCGCCGAGGGCCTTCTGGCAGTTCCCTCATTGCGACAAGCCAAGTCACAGGGAACCAGGCAGAGGGCCTTCTTGGTAGTGGCACCCGCCCTGTGGAATGCCCGCCAGATGTCAAAGAGAACAATAACTACCAGACTTTTAGAAGACATCTGAAGGCAGCCCTGTTTAGGGAAGCTTTTAATGTTTGATGCATTACTGTATTTTAATATTTTGTTGGAAACTGCCCAGAGTGGCTGGGGAAGCCCAGCCAGATGGGCGGTGTATTAATAATAATAATAATAATAATAATAATAATAATGTCCGGTCAAATTCAACTATGGGGTTGTGGTGCTCATCTCCACTTTCAGGCCGAGGGAGCTGGTGTTTGTTCACAGACAGCTTTCTGGGTCATGTGGCCAGTGTGACTAAACCGCTTCTGGTGCAACGGGACACCGTGACGGAAACCAGAGCACATGGAAACGCCACCTAATCTTCCCACCACAGCGGTACCTGTTTATTTACTTGCACTGCCGTGCTTTTGAACAGCTAGGTTGGCAGGAGCCAGCAGCTCTCAAACTATGGGCCACGGACCACTACTGAGCCCCAGCATTCTTCCATGTGAGACTTGCAGCCTCTTCCTCAGCCTGTGAGATGATTTCACCTGAGCACTGAAATGTCAGAGGTGTTAGTTTGGTTCCTCCCTGCCTCCCTGTGTATTGAAATTATGAAGGAAGCTGCAGCTGCATTTGGAAACTAGCTAATACTTAGGATTCCTTTGAGGTCCTAAAGAGCTGCAGTCTCCTCCTCCTCTCATTTAGTGCACATTTCATCCTAGAAACAAAAATGCCAATTTCCTGCTGGCCTGAGATCAGGAAGAAGCTGCTTTCTGCAAGCACCTTTATGGAGTAATTCGTGGGTGGGTGCTAAATAACTCCTTACCCCTGATACCTCTTGGAACTCAGCCTGTGCTAAGAATGAAGGACAGGTGCGCAGCCTGGAAGTCATTTTGGACTCACAGCTGTCCATGGAGGCGCAGGTCAATTCTGTATCCAGGGCAGCTGTCTACCAGCTCCATCTGGTATGCAGGCTGAGACCCTACCTGCTCGCAGACTGTCTCCCCAGAGTGGTGCATGCTCTAGTTATCTCCCGCTTGAACTACTGCAATGCGCTCTACGTGGGGCTACCTTTGAAGGTGACCCGGAAACTACAACTAATCCAGAATGCGGCAGCTAGACTGGTGACTGGGGGCGGCCACCGAGACCACATAACACCAGTCTTGAAAGACTTACATTGGCTCCCAGTACGTTTCCAAGCACAATTCAAAGTGTTGGTGTTGACCTTTAAAGCCCTAAACGGCCTCGGCCCAGTATACCTGAAGGAGCGTCTCCACCCCCATCGTTCTGCCCGGACGCTGAGGTCCAGCTCCGAGGGCCTTCTGGCGGTTCCCTCATTGCGAGAAGCAAAGCTACAGGGAACCAGGCAGAGGGCCTTCTCGGTAGTGGCGCCCGCCCTGTGGAACGCCCTCCCACCAGATGTCAAAGAGAAAAACAACTGCCTGACATTTAGAAGACGACATATGAAGGCAGCCCTGTTCAGGGAAGTTTTTAATGTGTGAAATTTTAATGTATTTTTAATCTTTGTTGGAAGCCGCCCAGAGTGGCTGGGGAAATCCAGTCAGATGGGCGGAGTACAAATAAATTATTATTATTATTATTATTATTATTATTATTATTATTATTATTAAAGGTTCGTTGCCATGCAGACAATCCTATTTCCCAGATCCTGGAAGCAGAAACAAGGGAACCGTCTGTCTTGGATCTGGTCCTCACCAACAGGGAGCAATTGAAAATGCATTCTGCTTAGGTCAGCTAAATGTTTCGGACCTGCTTTGCAGCCTCTCCCAACGTTTCAAAATTTGGCTTTGCAGGGCGGGAATCTGCGCTCCCTGATTTGAGGGCTTGGGGGTCCCCTGGATGGATCAGCTGCACCCTCCCCCCAAATGCACAAAATAGAGTGGGGGTCGACTTACCAAATCCCAGATGATCTCCCACCCCCACGTCCAAAGCCAGGCAGGAAGGACTATGGAGTGGGGGCATGTATTGCCCTGGAGGACTCCGCTCCCTTCCCTTCTCTCCAAGTTCCTTGCTCTCTAGGAAGCCAGTTCAGTTCTCCTTAACCCTTAGAAAACCACACAGCTGACGTTGTTTACTAGACCCGATAGGGGGCGCTGTTGATTCCACCCCCACAGGATTGTTTGTTATTTTGACAGTTTTGGGGGAGGTTTTTTCCCCTTCCCCAAGTAGTTTGGCGATTTAGGGGCTGGGTGACCTTTCTTTCAGCACAGGGACGGTGACCACCTGCCAGACTCTTCTTTAGATGCAGCAAACGCCAGCAAAGTTACTGCGCCCTTTGAAGCAACGCTACATCCTTATATGAACTTCCAATACATTTCACTTTTTTAAAAATTTCATGTGATTGTTTTGAGAATTGTGCTGGAGCACAGATCTACACCAGTCTTGCTTTCAGATGACAAATGTGTCCTTGCGCTCAAAAAATATATTCTTCCAACTGTTCACTTTCCAGTGAAAAATACCGTTTGAAAGATTATTAGATCTAGAGGTAGTCAAATTTTGGTCTCTTTGGCATCAGTGGGATAAGTTAATCTGGACTTCGTCTCTCTGTATGAATAAACACTGTGAACAACATAATTATCACCATATATACTTTTCTCTATTTCATTCCTTTATTCAACTGACAACCCTTCTGCCCCAAAACTTGAGTAGACATATAACTGAGGGTAGCATTTCACACCTCTGTTGAATATAGGCCACAAAAGCTTCTGCCAGAATAAATTGGTTGGTCTTTTAAGGCACCACAGGATTGTTTTTAAGTTCCATGGATTTAAATGGAGCTACAGCATGACAAAAATACTTTATTTTTCTGCTTGATTCTAAGGGTTAAAATGAACTGAACTGGATTCTAAGAGTGGAAGGGATATAGGTGTGGGGACAGAAAATACGGCAGGGTCCTCCAAACCCTCAAAAGTCAACAAGATGTGTCTTGTCTCCTCCTCATCCTCCTCTTTTGCCCTCTACACCCTGGGTTATCTTTTCATATTCCTGACTAGCTTCCCCCAAGTGCTGGCACGGCCGATTAAATGGGAATTAAATGATTTGAACGACATGTGGGGTTGTGGCTCAACTGTTTCCTTGAAGGCCACACTTTCAGAAAGCATGTTTGCTCCTTGAGCAGCCTTCTTCTCCTTTCTCTGATCTACCATGAGTCCTCTGAAAGTGTGGGGGGAGGCTAGGGAGCTGGAATTGGAAGACCATGGAAGGGGTCTTAGGGGGCTGGGCTGGGGTGAATCTGGGACTGAATGGGAATCTGGCACAGAGGACGGACTCCCCAGACTGGGAGAGGGGGACATGGATCCTGGGGAAGGGCCTCGCAGGCATTCATAAGAGTGGATTTTAAGAGCAAAAGGGAAAGAGGTGTGGGAATATGGAGAAGGTAGGGTCCTCCTAATAAATAACATTATTATTATTAACTTGCAATGTTTTTTGGGGCTTCCGGGTTAGCGCCATCGCCGAATGGCGGACTCCCTCCGAGCTCCGGAGGGAGTCTGCTCGGCAGGGGCTGGGTCCTACCGCGCCGGCGACGCGGGGACCCTTAAAAACCACGGGCACGGAGTCCGTGGACATGGGTGACTCGGCTTGCACCATTAGCGCCCTCCCGACTCGTGAAGGAGCCTTTTTAAAGGCTTCGGATCGGGTGCCGGGGAGTGGCGTGGTGCTTTGAGTCCACTGCTTTCTCTGCCGAGCGCAGCCGCATGCCATTCGGCGGAGAGCGCTGACTTCTTCTATTGAAAATTTGGACTATTAACAACAACCCGTGAGTAATTGGGAAACCGGGTTTAAAATTTTGGATTTGGCACGAGCGGGGGCGATTTAAAAAGGAAGTCAATCCCCCCCCCTATTGTAAACATTACAAAACAAGGACTGGGTAACCAAGGTCCAAAGGGAAGTATGTCTCTGATAAAAATCATTAATTTCACGATGGGAAATTATAAGAAATGTGCTGGAGGAGAAGAGTGGAGGGTGAGAAGAAAAATGCAACCCCCCCCCTGGGAACCGGGGCGATTCGTGGAGCCTGGTGAAGAGAGACGGAGACTTTGACAGCTGTCAAAGTGGCTGTCAAAGCTGGAGAATATAAAGAGGACTTTACGAGGACCTTGCTGGTAAATTTTGTTACAATTTGCTATAATATGGATATAAACTGTTGGAAAATAAGTAACAATTTGACTTTTGGATTAGAGGATACAAAGTTATTACAATCCCCTAGAGGGGTTTCGGGATACTACAAGAACGGTCGTAAGTGGAAAAATACCCTGGGATTCGCACAGGATTTGTTATCTTCTGGGAAAGCTGCAAAACTGAAAGAATATTTTGTCTACAGAGGAAGACAATGGAATTTTTATTGAAGAAAGAAAGGGACTGGACGTAAGTTTTTGTTCCTGAATAACAAACCTCTGCAGAGACACTAGATTTCTGAATTAGAAAGTTTTAGCAGCTGAACAGGACAAGAAACCTGAGAAAGTGAGGAATAAGAAGAATAAAGGACTGATTACGACACGGAAAGAACAACGGGAGGAGTGGTAAAGATCAAGGAAATTAAAGGCCTTTGTTAGATTGGACATTTGAAGTCAAATATTATTTAAATTAATAAACTAAAAGAAAACCGGCAAGATGGAATCGGGAGAAATCTGGTCATGAAATGAGACTCCCAAGCTGATAATGTATAGACTGATGGACATGGGGAATTCAAACCGGGGAAGGGGGAGATTTGAAATCCAAAGGCTGTGTAACCATTTTTTGAATTTTTCTATATCTTTTATTTTCTATTTCTTTACATAACTTACGTATGTTATTTTACTTTGATCGGACGTGTTTAAAAAAAGGGCATTTGTGGAAGGCACTGGGGTGGAGCTGGGGGAAAATCGTGTTTCTTTTTCTGTTAATGACGTGGGACGGTGGTAAGAGTTGTACAATTCAATCTGGATAGTGGGTTAAACAAATTAAGTTTTAAATTGGGAGTGAGAGCTTGTAGAACCAAATTAAGGAAAGGGGAATACAATTGGGGGGGGGAGGGGGGGAGTCCCAGAAAGTAGGGAATGAAAGTAAGGTTTTTAAATATCTTTCTTCTTTTGTCTTTTTTCTTTGTATTTTTATATTTTTGGAAATTTTAATAAATATGATTTAAAAAAAAAAAAAAACTTGCAATGTTTTTTGATGCTTTTTATACATGTTGGAAGCCACCCAGGGTGGCTGGGACAGTCCAGTCAGATGGGTAGGGTACAAATAATAAAATTATTATTAACCATCAAAAGTCAGTAAGATGTACCCGTCTTCTCCCTCCCAGCTTGGAGTCTCCCATTTCAGCAGGAGACAAACCAAATCAGCAGCATTTTCCTCCAAACCACTCTCATTTCTGTACCTCTGACTTCCCCATTACCCTTCTTCAACCTTCCTTCTTCTCTTTTGCACTCTATATCCTGGACATAGCCGGAATACGAGAAGAAAAAAAAAAGTCCGGGAAAATCCGAATGTACGGCAACCCATGTCAGCAGTGTTGTTGAGGGTTATTTTCCTTAAAAATAGCTCAAAAACTTTGGCCAAAAAGAAAAAAAAGACCTCACCAATTTTTGTGTCCGGATTTTCACTTTTTGAAATATGACCACCCTATTTTATATTGTTTGCTAGCTTCCCCCAGTTGCTAGTGCAGCCCATTAAATGAGGAGCCCCTCATGTGAACAAGTGTGGCTCAGCTCTTTCCTTGAAGGCTACACTTCCACAGAGCCCAGAAACATGTTTGCTCCCTCAGCAGCTTCCCTTGCCTTCCCTGACCTGCCAAGAAAGAACAAGAAGCATGTCAAGTGTTGAATCAACATCTTATTTACATCCAGCTGTGAACTGCTATGCGTTGTCATGAACCTGCTGTTTGTAACCTGTAAACCCGTTGGCAGTGCTAGTGATTTAGTCAAGAAAGCTTTCAAAAGCTCAGCTGGGAGTGTCAGAGAAGAACCAGGACAAGACTTGATCATTGTGAGTAAGTACCACACTATAGTTTTCATTTGCAAAACAAATGTTTTACTCATACTATTTAGGAGGGCGTAAGGGATTGGGAAGACTTAAGGTGGAGATAACTTCTCATTGTTGGTGGTTCATTATAAAATATTATATGTCTACTATATATTCTATATTATATAATAAGCAATCATTTCTCACCAGGGTCATGTACTTTCAACTTCAAACTTAGCAAAGTGAACAGAATAGCAAACAGACAAGAACTTGTAGGAAATAAAGAATAGTACACAGAAATAAAGGTGTTATAACTTTCACTCATCCAGGGCAACACCCCTCCCCTTCGCTTTAAGGATTCATTGGCTCAAAATAGTACTTAAATCATTGGCTCAGAATAGTACTTAAATCCTAGACTGCCAATGGTTGGGTAGCTCAAAGCTCCTTCTTCATGCCTTGCTGGAAATGGACCCAAAGGAGGACTGTGAGAGATGCTGTAGCCTTGCTGGTGGACAGGGAGAGCAGAACTCCCAGACCAAAGCCACATAATTCTGCTCCCTGACTTAGGTTCTGCATACTTTGGGCTAGATATGTGCATCCCCTTCATTTGTCACTTTATTTCAAGTGTGGGCACTGTGGCAAATTAACACACTCACTTTCTAGGCTTTTGGAATAGCAAGGTATCATTTTTACTCTCAAGATCATGGTGTGTATGCTGTGCGATTTGCCACCCACTTATATTGCAACCACTCTTTGAAAACCACACCCATATTATTTCATTTCCATACAGCCTTTCACCCGAAGATAACAGGGCAGTTTACAATACTAAAACAACAACAACACGAGACATAATACCATAATAGCAAACGAAAACAGCACCCCTCCAGTATTCTGTGTCGTTTTTATTTCATTTAATAAAACAATCTTTTTTTTCATTTCTCTGATGTGTGCAACATCTTTATGGGACATAAGATTAAGGACAGAAACAGGTATTCATAATGGATGTATGTTTAACTCCAGTAAAAACGCTCATAGATCTATAAAGTTGGAAGGGACCACGAGCGTCATCTATCCAACGCCATGCAACGCAGGAATCTTTCGCCCAACATGGAGCACTAACACACAACTCTGAGATTAAGAGTCTAGTGCTCTACCGACTGAGCTATCCCAGGTAGATGAAGGGAACGCAGTGGATGTAGCCTACCTTGATTTCAGCAAGGCATTTGACAAGGTGCCCCATGATATTCTTGTAAAGAAGCTGGTAAAATGCGGTCTTGACTATGCTACCACTCAGTGGATTTGTAGCTGGCTGACTGACCGAACCCCAAGGGTGCTCATCAATGGTTCCTCTTCATCCTGGAGAAGAGTGACTAGTGGGGTGCCACAGGGTTCTGTCTTGGGCCCGGTCTTATTCAACATCTTTATCAACGACTTGGATGATGGACTCAAGGGCATCCTGATCAAATTTGCAGATGACACCAAACTGGGAGGGGTGGCTAACACCCCATAGGACAGGATCACACTTCAAAACGACCTTGACAGATTAGAGAACTGGGCCAAAACAAACAACAGGGAGAAATGTAAAGTATTGCACTTGGGCAAAAAAAATGAGAGGCACAAATACAAGATGGGGGACATCTGGCTTGAGAGCAGTACATGTGAAAAGGATCTAGGAGTCTTGGTTGACCACAAACTTGACATGAGCCAACAGTGTGACGCGGCAGCTAAAAAGCCAATGCAATTCTGGGCTGCATCAATAGGAGTATAGCATCTAGATCAAGGGAAGTAATAGTGCCACTGTATTCTGCTCTGGTCAGACCTCACCTGGAGTACTGTGTCCAGTTCTGGGCACCACAGTTCAAGAAGGACACTGACAAACTGGAACATGTCCAGAGGAGGGCAACCAAAATGGTCAAAGGCCTGGAAACGATGCCTTATGAGGAACGGCTAAGGGAGCTGGGCATGTTTAGCCTGGAGAAGAGGAGGTTAAGAGGTGATATGATAGCCATGTTCAAATATATAAAAGGATGTCACATAGAGGAGGGAGAAAGGTTGTTTTCTGCTGCTCCAGAGAAGCGGACACGGAGCAATGGATCCAAACTACAAGAAAGAAGATTCCACCTAAACATTAGGAAGAACTTCCTGACAGTAAGAGCAGTTCGACAGTGGAATTTGCTACCAAGGTGTGTGGTGGAGTCTCCTTCTTTGGAGGTCTTTAAGCAGAGGCTTGACAACCATATGTCAGGAGTGCTCTGATGGTGTTTCCTGCTTGGCAGGGGGTTGGACTCGATGGCCCTTGTGGTCTCTTCCAACTCTATGATTCTATGATTCTAGGTCTTAAATATCCTGAATATCTTACATGAATGCCGGACAAACTTGTGGGTTCAAATGCACACCTTGTGGCACAGCCCTGTCAGGTCCAGGGACTGCCAGCTGTCGCTGTTTTTATAATACTATTCCATCATGAATTCTTTGATGGGAAATGAAAGTTTCTTTCCAACGGAAGCTCTGCCCACATTCCAAGCACTGATACGGCTTCTCTCCTGAATGAATTCTTTGATGGGAAGTGAGACGCTGTCTCCGACTGAAGCTCTTCCCACACTCCAAGCACTGATATGGTTTCTCTCCGTTATGAAGTCTTTGATGGGAAGTGAGATTCTGCTTTAAGCTGAAGCTCTTCTCACACTCCAAGCACTGATATGGTCTCTCCCCTGTATGAATTATCTGATGGGAAGTGAGATTATCCTTCCGACTGAAGCGCTTTCCACATTCCAAGCACTGATATGGTTTTTCCCCTGTATGAATTCTTTGATGATTATATAAGTTCGCCCTTAAATTAAAGCTCTTTCCACAATCTAAACATTGATATGGTTTCTCACCTGTATGAATTCTTTGATGTGAAGTCAGGTGGGCCCTCTGAATGAAGCGCTTTCCACATTCCAAGCACTGATACGGTTTCTCCCCTGTATGAATTCTTTGATGGGCAGTGAGACTTGCCTTTTGGCTGAAGCTCTTCCCACAGTCCAAGCAATGATATGGGTTCTCCAAGGTGTGAACTCTTTGATGTGAAGCGAGATGGGAGCTTTGACTGAAACACTTCCCACATTCCATGCACTGATATGGTTTCTTCCCCGTATGAATTCTTTGGTGGGAAGTGAGATGAGCGATCTGACTAAAGTGCTTCCCACATTCCAGGCACTGATATGGTTTCTCCCCTGTATGAATTCTTTGATGGGCAGTGAGACTTGCCTTTTGGCTGAAGCTCTTTCCACAGTCCAAGCACTGATACGGTTTATTTTCTGTATGAACTCTTTGGTGGGAAGTGAGATGGGCGATTTGGCGAAAGCTCTTTCCACATTCCAAGCATATATATGGTTTCTCGCCTGTGTGAATTCTTTTGTGCTTAGTGAGACTTGACTTCCTGCTAAACTTCCTCCCACATTCTAAGCACTGATATGATTTCTCCTCGCTGTCAGTTTCTTGTTGAGAGCTCTGACTGAAGATCTCATCTCTCTCCAAATATATATTCAGCTCCCCCACTCCGTGACTATTGTTGTGGGCTCTCTTATTCTTGGTTTCCAATTTTTCACCTTCTGCAAGGAGAACAGAAACTGATTAGAATCAGTGGATGAAGTTGGGCTTCAGATTATTGAGCCATGTCAAAAAACAGTTGTGATAAAGAAAGAACTGAAGGGACTTAGATGCGATGCAGAGCTTTCTGCAGAATTAACTGCCCCCTTAACTGGCATTAAGGAACAGGTGCCACACTTTCAGAATAAAAATTTGCTCAGGCCAAACCAAATTTTTAATTCATAAGAAATACATTGGAAAAACAAAAGAAATCAGCCCTATCAGTGCTTCATTTATAAAACAGAACACAACTGCTTTATAATATGATCACAGGACACCCCGAAAGTATAAAACAATGCAGTTACATAAGAACAGGCATCATTTACCAAATGTAATTATAAGCTAGCCTCTTGCGTAGGTACCTTAAGTATGTATGCAAATTCAATAAGAGCTGTGAGCTTGCTTTTATATTAGGTCTACTTTGAGGCAAGCAAAGACTTGTATCCTCATCAACACAAAGAAGCCTTTCTCTTTTCTGATCTTTCATATCTGTCAGAAAAGATATTTTGATAAGATATCTATCCAGATACCATACTTTACTATATGCTACACTGAAATGTTTAATTTTTTTCTTCGATTGTCTTTTAATCTTCCCACTACACTTGCCATCCTCTCCTGCAACACAAGGCTGGTGTGCCAAACCCTTTTAGAACCACTGCTATAGACAGCTGAAATTCAGCCATGGGTTACAGGGAACCAGGCAGAGGGCCTTCTTGGTAGAGGCACGCGCCCAGGGGAGATAAACAATTATATGCCCTTCCGTAGGGAAGCTGCGTGTGTGTGTGTGTGTGTGTGTGAGTATTATATGATAAGTATGTAATATTTGTTTACAATGTTTTTGGATTGTTTTCAATCTTTTTTTTCTTTCTTTTTTCTTGTTTTGTTTCTTCTGTATTCTTTAAACAAAAATAAATAAACATGCAATCAATTATATGACCTTCCGTAGACACCTGAAAGCAGCCCTGAATCAGGATATTTTCAATATCTGATGTATTGTGTGATCTACCCACGGTCATTGCCAGGAATTGTGGTTTTTTTTTAATACGATATTTATTAAGATTTTCAAATTATTACAAAATAAAAATAAAAAAGAAGAAAATACAAAATAAAAATGGTTAAAAACAACTCAATCTTTCCATTACTTATTTTTCATTAGCTTGTTTCCCGGACCTCCTCATGCCTCCCTTTTTGTATTCCAGTTCGGTTTGTTGGTTCAGCAAATCCTTACCCTCTTTGTTTATCCTAGTCTTTAATCTTAAAATATTGTAACGTTAAATTTTTACCTATTAATAATCCATTTTTCATATTCCCTTATAGTATTACAGCTGAAAACCACTTAATTTCTATCCAACATCATTCTAACATTCATTAATTTTACAATATTTCTGTAGATAGTCTTTAAATTTCTTCCAATCCTCTTCCACCGACTCTTCTCCCTGGTCTCGGATTCTGCCCGTCATTTCCGCCAGTCCCATATAGTCCATCACCTTCATCTGCCATTCTTCCAGAGTGGGTAGGTCTTGTGTCTTCCAATACTTCACGATGAGTATTCTTGCTGCTGTTGTTGCATACATAAAAAAAGTTCTATCCTTCTTTGGCACCAATTGGCTGACTATGCCCAGGAGAAAGGCCTCTGGTTTCTTCAAGAAGGTATATTTAAATACCTTTTTCAATTCATTATAGATCATCTCCCAGAAAGCCTTAATCCTTGGGCATGTCCACCAAAGGTGAAAGAATGTACCTTCAGTTTCTTTACATTTCCAACATTTATTATCGGGCAAATGATAGATTTTTGCAAGCTTGACTGGGGTCATGTACCACCTGTATATCATTTTCATAATATTCTCTCTTAAGGCATTGCGTGCCGTAAACTTCATACCTGTGGTCCATAACTGTTCCCAGTCAGCCATCATTATGTTATGTCCAACATCCTGTGCCCATTTAATCATAGCAGATTTCATCGTTTCATCCTGAGTATTCCATTTCAACAGCAAGTTATACATTCTTGACAAATTCTTAGTTTTGGGTTCTGTCAGGGAACTGACATCAGAGCGAGAGGCGAAGGGGAGGCTCCTGGATGATGCTGGAGAAGGACCCAGCAGCAGGGGGAGAGGCGACTCAGTGGAGGGGGAAGCATTTAAGCGCAACACCAGGAACAAAAGTGAGCAGATGGGAAAATCGGAGAGAGGGCTCACGGACTCTTCACTGGAACTCAGTGAGGAGGGGACAGGTCCCCGCTACCCACGCCCACCCTGCGCAGAAGGCTCCCGCGCAGTGAGAGGCGGAGGCGATTGGGTGTCAAACAACTCTTATGTTGGAAGAGATTCAAGAAACGCCCACTGACGGATTCTGCTAGTGACTGAGACAGTCATGATCAGAAGGGGCTGTGCAGTCAGAAAGGTTTAACATGGCAAATCAGCCTAGAGAGGCACCAGTTTACACACGAGTAACTCATACTCATTACAGCAATCCGTCAGTCCCTGAAAAGTTGCTCGTGCGCAGCAGCAGGCAGGCAGCATCATGAGCAAGCCCGGAGAAGCAGGCACCCAAGGGGGAGCAGCTGGAGGGCAAACGCTAGAGGAGAGGAACCGAGATTTGGAGCAGCATGTGGCCATTCTGATGGCACGGCTGGACGAAAGGCAGTCTCAAGATGCACAGGTCAGACCCACCCCCATAGCAAGGAAGGTACCGGGACTGGTGCACAAGTTTGGGGGGAAGCCGCAAGAATACAGTGCGTTTAGAACGGAAATAGAGTACGCATTGGACTTGCAGCATAACGATTTTGAAGACGACGCGGCGCGGGTGGCATATGTTGTGGGTCACCTGCAGGACGGGGCCAGAGAATGGGTCAGACCCCTTATGGCGACGCAGAATTCCGCCATGCAGGACCTGAGGAAATTCTTCCAAGCGATGGACGCGATGTTTTCCACTGATGTTCAAAAAGTGTGACTAAGCGGGAATTGATGAACTGTAAACAGGGGAGCCAGTCAGTCAGGGACTACTGGTCGCGCTTTGCCATGATAGTTCATCGCCTCGGGTGGGAACTGGGCTCCGAACCCATACAGATGTTATTCGAGGAGGGGTTGTCCCCAACGGTTAAGGATGAACTTTCCCGCGCACCCCGCCCACAGGGGATGGATCAGCTGACCAAGGCTGTGCTTGCGATTGGCGTGCGCCAGGAAGCGCGGGCCCAGGAGAGGCGGGAAGGGAGAGAGCAACGTTGCCATGACTACCGCATTCCTGAAATACCAAGGCAGCCCTCCCCGCCAGCAGAGCCAATGGAAATAGATGGGGCGCGCGCGCGGGAAGTTTCAAGCACCAGCGAAGGGCGCAAGAAGGAGGGAAAGGATTGGAAAACCTCCAAAAGGTGTTACCTTTGCCAGCGGCCAGGGCATTTTGCCAGAGCCTGCCCTCAAAGAAAGGCTTGGCAAGGAATGGTGGGAACCGCAGGGGGTGAGGAGGAGGTGGTAAAGGAACAGGAACAGGGAAACGAGAACGCTTGGCTGCCAATCAAGGGGCACAACAGCCAAGCCAGCCACCAGTAAAAGTGCCCCAACCAGACCCCCCCAAGGCGGCAATAGCCATCGAAGTGGTGCTAGAACTCCCGAACGGGCACCCAGTCAAGGTGAAAGGCATGCTGGATTCAGGCAGCTCATGTAATTTCTTCAGCAAGGACTTTGCATTAGAGCACCAGCTCCACTTACTGCCTTTGGATTTTCCCTTGCAAGTGACCACCATTGATGGCAGGGAGCTTCTAGGAGGGGAAGTGACACACCAAACCCCGCCAATGAGAATGAGGGTGTCCAGGCACTCGGAAACCATCGCCTTTCACGTCGCCTTGCTAGCAGGACCCCCAATAATATTAGGGATGAGCTGGCTAGCACAACATGATCCAGTGGTGGCGTGGCATCAGAGGACAGTCACCTTTGGGTCAGCTTACTGCCTGGAACACTGTCTAGGGGGGGAAGCCCCAAGAATGACCGTGGCCAGGGTGGCTGGGATGGCGGTGGAGCGGAAAGGGGAGGTGCCGCCACAATACGCAGATCTGCGGGAGGTCTTCAGCGAAAAGGAGGCAGATAGACTGCCACCCCATAGGCCCTTTGACTGCCAGATCAACTTGCTTCCGGGGCTCAGCTGCCAGTGGGTAAGCTGTACGCCATGTCAGACAGGGAGATGAAGGAGTTGCGAGAATTTATCGACAAGAACCTGAAAAGAGGCTTCATAAGAGAATCAAAGGCAGTAGGGGGCAGTCCGGTGTTCTTTGTGGACAAAAAGGACACAAATAAACCCAGGCTCGTAGTGGACTATAGAGCTGTCAATTTGGTGTCAGAACCCGTGACCTTCCCAATGCCCAGGATTGACGACATTTTAACGCGAGTGAGGAAAGGCAAAATTTTTACCAAGCTGGACCTCAGGGGTGCATACAATTTGATCAGGATGAGGGAGGGGGACGAATGGAAGACCACAATGTTCACACCCCTAGGTGCCTTTGAGTACTTAGTTATGCCTTTTGGATTACAGTCAGGCTCCGCCTGTTTTCAAGCTTTCATGCACCACGTGTTGGGGTCTCTGCTGTACAAGAACTGCGTAGCCTTCTTGGACGACGTCTTAATTTATTCGGACAATGAGGAACAACATGTTAGAGACGTCAGGGAAGTGTTACAACGACTGCAGAAGCACCAGTTGTGGGTCAAGCTGGAAAAATGTCAGTTTCACGCCAGAGAAGTCGAGTTTCTGGGGTACAAGTTGTCTGACAAAGGCTTAGCGATGGACCCAAGCAAGGTGCAGGCAGTGCTGGAGTGGAAGGCTCCCAAGACACGGAAGGACGTACAGAGGTTCCTAGGGTTCAGCAACTTCTACAGGAAGTTCATCAAGAACTTCGCCCACTTGACAGCGCCAATCACGGATTGTCTCAGTAGCAAAAAGAAGTTTGTGTGGACAGAAGAGGCCCAGCAATCCTTTGAAAAACTGAAGAAGGCGTTCGCATCGGAAGAGCAACTCCTGCACGTAGATCTGGAGAAACCCCTGAGGCTAGAGACCGACGCGTCCGACAGAGCCGTGGGGGCGGTCCTGTTGCACC